TTAAATTTTGGATAAAAGGTGTATTTTTATTTTGGTTTTATTTAAAAATTTGTAAGAAAGATTGTTACTATGCACTTTTATTTTAAGGGTTTGAAATTTTACACCTATTTGGTGCAAAACGGGGCATAACTACAAGTACCTCTTACCCTATAGGGTAAAAATATACACACATCAAAGTTTGAAATTTTACACCTATTTGGTGCAAAACGGGGCATAACTACAAGTACCTCTTACACACATCAAAGTTCTACCACGTGACTACGTACGGAACGCAGTCTTTTGAAAATTTGGCATATAGGGCATTTTAGGTTATGTATTTGTCAAAGTATAGTCAACAAAAGAAAAAATATTTGTATGTTTATCGCTTATGTTTAAGCGCCTAAGGCGCCTACGTGCAGCATTCTGTAGTGCGCCCCTTTTATATTCAAATATAATACATTAAATATTTTAATTTTAAGCCCTAAAATTTAAAAAATGTTATTTTGCGACAAATTGGCAATATGTAATTGAAAATGAAAAAAAACCTCTGAAATTAAGTAAAAATATTTATTAAATTACCAAAATGAAAAAAATCGCAAAAAGTATTTAGAAATAAAAATACCCTAAAGAAAACAAAAAAACTATATATAGATATAAACAATTTTTAGTGACGTAATCCAAAGATAATATTATCTTTGACGTAAGCTAGTTACAAAGTCATGCACTGTGTAGACCACTGTCAACTGCAACTATCAAACAAAAACTTAAAATATGACAATTTCTCTCCTTTTATTTTGATACTTGTTTAAAAAAAAATAAACCGGCAAAGCGGCAAAAGGCACTTTATAGCGGCCGAAAAAAGAGCTGCATAAAAGCGGTTTCAAATAGATGCGAAATGCGAATTTTGCAACTCCTATTTCATATAGATGCGAACTATTTTAGGGACATTTTTTTCTCACTAGGCGATATTTGCCATGGTATTTTAGGGACATAATTTTCACCCCAGGCGATATTTGCCATACTTGGTTAACATTTTCTATTTGTTGTTTTATGTGAATTGAGATTTTGTGTTTTTATTATGGATGAACAATTATACCAGTGCACTAGTGGCAATTATACCATTGGCGACGAAGGCGTGCAATTGCGCTTATTTATTGTTGAAACGAAGACAGAATTAATTAATGCGCATGCGCACCACGACAAATTCATGCGATTTTGCAAAATATTGGAGGGTGGGAAATGGAACATGAAACAATGTGCAAAACCAAAAATTGAAAAGTGTGAATAATCACTGGACAATGTTCTAAAGGGAACTCCTTTTGATTTTTCACATTGTTTTCACACTGTTTCTTGCCACCACTATTACAAAAACAGATTATTTTTGGTGACCTATAAAGTCTTTTAAATTTACACATAATTGAAATATAAATATCCTTATAATAATATTAATCAAATAAATATTTTTTTCAAAAAAATTTAAAAAAAAAAAAATACCCACAATGTAGGTCCTACATACTGTATTTTATTAAGAAAAATACCTGCACTGTCAACTCCACGAAGGGGATTGCTTTGATCTTAGCAATAGGCCAAAAACTATACATACGATGGAATCTACCTCACCTTTTAAATAAATGTTGTACCCCAACTCAAGCGAGATATATCTAAAATGTGCTTAAACTGTTGAGTGATCGCTAAAACTGTACAAACAATGTGCTATAAAAAGGTGTAATATAAGCGTCATAAATGAGACATATTAAAGCGTGCTAACAGTGTGTATAAAATGTGACATGCGTTAGATAGACTGAATCTTTGGAAAATGTCTTTAAACAATGTACTAACACTGTGCAAACAATGTGCTAAAATATAATGTAATATAAGCGTGACATATGACAAATAAAAAGCGTGATGTCAATGTACATAAAGAGTGAAAAAACTTAATTATTTCAAAAAGTGGGAAATTACCACAAAGTAGCGTGTATGCACATTGTTATAAAGACTTGCACTCGAAATACACACTTATTGCACACTTTTCATGCACGCTTTATTTTCGCCAGGGATGTCTGACGACGTTTCGGTAAAATCTCATGTACCATCTTTAGTTCTAATCTGCTGGGCTGCTGTTGCTGCTCTGCTGCGAGTTCATACAAATAAAGCCAGTGGAAACCTAAAGCAGCAGAGCAACAACAGAAGCCCAGCAGATAAGACCTAAAGAGGGTACATCAGATTCATCATACATCTTCAGACATACGGTTCTTTTAAGAACCAAAAACCGACACACAGAGCAGATTCCTTACAGGAATTCTTAAGGAATTTCGTACACCCCTTGTGCCTCCAACTCTATTTTTGGTTTGGCGTTTGGAAGTATTTTACCGATCTTTCTTGGGGCGGTAAATGTTGTCTCAATGTTATGTTTTTTGAGAAGGGGAAGGAAAGCCTTCGAAATTGGTTTGTTTTTCTCGTCCTTTGTTGTATTTAACCTGCGTCGTGGTCTAAGAGCCTTTTTGATGATGGTTTTGGAGAATCCGTTTTGCTGTAGCGTCGTTTGGATTTTCAGGTCTTCTTTTTTCTTGTGGTCATCATCCGCCTTTCAGATCGCGTGACAAGTGTCTTAATGATTGGCTGCAGGTGTGACGGGTGGTGGTGAGACTGGGCGTGTGCCCTAGTTTGCCATTATTTTCTTGATTATGAAGACATCCAGGAAAGGTAATTGGTGTTTTTTCTCGGTTTCCATTGTGAACTTAATCTTTTTGGGAATTCCGTTGAGATGGTCCAGGAATTTCTTTAGTTCCGCTTCTTCGTGGGTCCATATATGTTATATGTGTTTTCTAAGTACCGTAACCATAACTTTGATTTTAGTGTTGCCGTTTCGATTGCTCGTACTTCTATGTCTTCCATGAATAAGTTGCCTATTGCTGGCGATATTGGGAAATTGACTTTAAAAAAACAAGGGTCTTGCTAGCATCGAATACAGAACCAAACGTACCATTCGTGAAGCCATTGATAAAGAAAAATGTCCAAAAAACCTCAACACAAGAGGCGATACACAGAGACTAAGACTTACTGTTGCGCATTAATTTATAAAAAAAATACATTCAAGTGTATATCTCCACAACGGCGACATACGCGATTTTAATTTTTCTTGCAAAGTAAAGCTAATAATATCACTATTTAAAATAAAAATGTTTGGAAGATTATATATTTTTTAAGTTGAAAACGCCAAATGTACCAACGTGGGCGAGAAGACATTTAACGAATAAAGAAATGTTAAGAGCTATTGGGATGATTGAAGCGGGTGCAACCCAACAAGCAGTTGCCGCTCAGCTAGAAACATCACAATGCGTGACAAACAGATTGTGTCAACGCTATCGAGAGACCAACAGTGTGAATGAAAGACAACCAGGCCGAGGAAGGCTTACAACGGCAAATCAAGACCGCTTTATTGTTCTGCAGGCCAGAAGAAACCGATCTCAAACTGCATCTGAGTTGGTTGCTGAATTGCAATTGTCACATAATGTGACTGTGAGTGCTCAGACCATCAGAAGACGTTTACATGAAAGAAATCTTCATGCTAGACGCCCTCTCAGGGTTCCCCCTTTGTCCGCTGGAAATCGAGTAGCTAGACTTTTGTGGGCATTTAAATTGGTCTAATGAACAATGGTCCACAGTTTTGTTTAGTGATTTATCTCGGTTTGGCCTGCATCCAGACTCAAGAAGAACGAGGGTATGGCGATGTTCCGGACCAGCAGCATGGCTAGAAACTGCTCAAGAGGTCCATACTTACCGTGGTGGAACTGTTATGGTGTGGGGTGGCATCAGCGTTGGAGGAAGAAGTGATCTCATTCCACCTCAGGGATTTTTAAACTCAATTGCTTATCGAGATGTTATCCTTCAACTCCTCGTGATTCCCTATGCTGCAGCTGTTGGTCCAAGATTAATTTTAATGCACGACAATGCCACTCCACACAGTGCACGAATAATAAGTGATTTCTTGGATGAAGAAAATTTCGACGTTCTTCCATGGCCAGCACAATCCCCGGACTTAAATCCGATAGAGCATCTGTGGTACAGGTTACAAAGGCGGGTTATGCGTAGAAATCTTTTTTTTAATAATCGTCAAGAGCTCATTTTAAGTTTACAAAGAGGTTGGATCGCAATTGACCAGGAGGCAATTGATGCATTAATTTTGAGTATGAACAGAGTAGGTGCAGAGCTGTGGTGAATAGTAGAGGTCCCACCACTTATTGACATTATTTTCGCCTTCATAATAAAGTTTGATATTTTTGTTATTTTCACTTCATTGTTTAATAAAGCTATTTTCATTTCATTGCATATTTTTATGACTTTTCGTTCAAAAATGGTAAAAATATATATGTGAGAATATTACATAAAAAAAGTGAGAGTTTCTTTACAAAAATAATTATTTTATTGCAAATTTTCACGATTATCCCTAGACTTTGTTGATGTGTGTATATCAAGTGATATATATCTGCGAACCCTGAAAAATACCATACAAATATATATACAATATATATATAAAAATTTATAATGAAATCCCAACTAGACAAAAAGATTTCGCTTGGACCATGGAACACGGCTGCTTAGAAAAAATTATTGAAGACAGGTGACATTTTATGCAATGTAACAGGGAGTTTGATCAATTCTCAAAATTTCTATCTTGAACGGTTTTGGAGATATTAAATAAAAACCATCTTAATTATATAAATATGTAGTTATTTTATAAAAAAAAATGAAAAATATTGTGGCCTGATTGACCTATTTTCCAAAACCGTTTTGACTATCCCAATATGCCCCTGTTATTTATATATATTTTGTATATAATAAAGTTTTAAAATATTTTTTAAATAAAATATATTTTTATTTAAAATTCCCAATTGTTTCCGAATTAGGGGACCACGCCAGTATCTCTAAAAGAGTTTTTTCCGACCAGATACACAAATGATACCGGTACAAAGCTATTATTTCTTTAGTCTTTAGATATATTTTTTTTCTTTTGTTTTTAGAGGTGGCTGGTCAATAGGCAAATGCGGTTTGAAGGGGGTTTTCAAGGGAGAACCAATAAGTTGGTTGACGGGTGCTATTCATTTTGGCAGGGAGGAGCATTTTCTTTAATTTACTCCCTTTTAGCAAACGGTAAAGTAAAGACCTAAACAAGGAACTTAATTGTATTTACTAATTTTTTTTTAGAAAACAATCCTCCCAGTCATCAACTATTTGATGAAAGAGCTCTGCAAGAATATCTATTAATTTGTTGTCAAAATATTCATGGAGGGTTGATTGATAAACCTGGAAAACCCAGAGATGTCTACCATACTTGTTATACCTTAAGTGGACTTTCCGTCGCTCAACATTTTAAAAACGAAAGTTATATTTTAGGACCTTTACAAAATAAAGTAGTAAGTTTTTTATTTACCTAAGTTTTTTCTACTACCAATCTCAGACGATTGAAACTAGATTTATTTTAATATTCATGTTCAAGCATTGGAATTTAATTTTTGTTCTAGCGAAAACCAATTTGGTTTGCAGACTGGCTGAAAACCGTTTTCAAACAGTTTTCAGCCGTTTTCAGGAAACGGTCAGACGGGCCAGACATGCACCATGAAATAATTTGTTAAACTAGTTTTAAAACGCCATAGATTGGATGCTAGAACAAACCTAATGTTTTTAAAACATTTAAATAATGGTATTAATATAGGTAAATATTTTTTATTTTAGGGATTTATTCATCCATTATACAACATAAGACCAGATTTGGTAAAAAAAGCCATACTATTTTTTAATAATTCTAAATTAATATCTAGTAATGTAAGCTAAACAATACTAAACTAATATTAATTGTTTATAATATTTATATTATTAGCCTGATTTTCAATAAACTTTTTTCTTTTAAATTTTATATTTTCCTGCTAGAGGTGTGAGATACACGTGTATACACGTAAAAGATATACAGTATTATTTGTATTCCCAAATCAAATATTTAATGCATATAAAGGTTGAGAAAAAATTTAAATGTGAATACTGGGCACTGCTTTTGCCGTTGTTCTGCAACACTCTTAGCAGATTCAGCGGCAGATATTACATTACTCAAGAGACAGGGGGGTTGGCGTTCGAGTTCGTTTGCAAACATACAACATTCTATTACAAGTAAAACGTAATTTTAAAGAAAATTTTTGGAAATGAAAAAACTGTATTAAAAAGAATCATGTGCAGCATCGTACACGTGGTAGAAGTGAAACTTCTTATAACTAGGGAATGTGATAAATTTTAGTTGTGTGTGTGTGAGAGAGAGAAAGAGACAGGGATAATTTCAAAAGAAATATAACATAAAATTTGTGTACAAAATATTTTTTTTAACAATACCAGAAACGCGTTACAAGTCCTTGGTTATTAGTGAGTAGTGTAAAGTGACCATCCGTCCCGATTTAGGCGGGACAGTCCCGATTCTGAGCTAAGGGTCCCGATTTAATAAGCGTCCCGCTTTTGTCCCGCTTTCAATAAATTCAGACTATTAACTTTTACTCTAATTGTTTAGAATATTTAAGCCAGTACAGTAGTAAAAAAGCTCCGACATGGAAACAAGTACAAAAAAGTTTTGAGTTTCTTTTAAAAAAATTCCCCAAATGCACCATAGTTGAAAATGATTTATTTGATGAGACTCGATATGTTTATAATTATGTTTCTGAGAGTAAACAGATCAAAAATGGGTAGAAATGTTTAGTCATTTCGATGAAAATAACATTCCTTTCAATAATATTTTAAAATTAGTACAATATATATTATGCTTACCCGGTACAAACGCTTCTACCGAACGGGTTTTTTCTATGATTAATAAAATTTGGACCACCGAAAAAACTAATTTGTCTGTAGAAACTTTAAAAGCTTTAGTGACTATTAAATATAATTTTAAAGGAGACTGTATGAGTTAAAAAATAAGCCCCTATTAAAAAAAATCATCAAAATGAAAAATATAAATAAAAATGTTATAGGTATTAAAAATTTAAAATCAGAATACAATCAGTATCAGTAATCAGATTGTCGTTTTTACTTGTAGTTTAAACTTTGTTTTTTTTTGTATTTCATTACATATTTTGTATAACTACTTAGTATTTTTTATTTATCACTACCCTAATTCTAAATTGAAAATGAAAACAAGATTTTTGACCATTTTGTAACTTTGTCCCGCTTTTGGACTTTTAGGATCTGGTCACTTTAGAGTAGTGACCGTCCCAGCACGTAACACAAACACAACACCCCAACCAGTTCCCCAACCCTTTCTCTAAACATAAAATTTAAGGCATGGGAGGGCCCTGTTAGGGAACTATTTCCCGGGCCCTAAAATCATTCCAGCACGCGCCTGATTATGTACTGCTGGTTTATTACAATTATTTTAATAATAAAATTTCATAAATACCTTAAATCATAGGGCAAAATTTATCGAACACAGACACTGCTATCTAATATATCTAGTAGTTATTAACTACTGATTAATTTCATCTGAAATAAATTTATATCCTTGGCATATAAACAGAAGCGAATTTGCTTTCGACACGCGCCTAAAGAGCGGTATGCTTTGAGCGCGCCACGCCTTTGTCTTTTGTCGGCTTTACACCGCGTTATTACAAATAAGCCGCATTATTATAAAATAATAAAAACAGTAGAATATTCGCTACTCTACCGTACTCATAATTGTTTATTTGATTTATTTTTGGCAGAAATAAACCATTTGGTAACAATTTTTATTTTTTAAGTAATATTGCGCTAGAATATAGTTTATTTCACGAAAATGTACATTTTCCAATAAACGCGACTTAAAAATAACTAGTTTGTTCGATTATAAAAAATCGTATCTCGCTACCAAATTACTTTAGACATCTGCGGTTTTAACGGTTTCATTTTTAATAAAATTTGCAATTTTTTGTGTAAATGTTTAAAACGGCAGCAAGTCTGGTTGAAATGGTGTACAAAATACACCGGCAGGTGTAGTTTTCACCAAATTATTTGCTATCAAGAAATCATTTTTTCAAGTTATATACTTTGTGTCGCTAAAATTACGTTTTCCGCCTCGAAATGGGAACAATTAATTGTTTTAAACCTTTGGATAACGTTTGTTATTGTTCTAATAATTATTGACGAAATAGAACTATCCGGATATTTAACTGAGAATAGGTCTCTTGTTTGACGTAGAGAATTGCCCACTAAAGACCAGCTTATCATGTCAATTTCCTCTTGAATGTGTAGGACATTATAACTTATAATTTTAAAACGCTCGAAATACACACTAGCAAATGCAAAACAAAACTGATTCCTCGTCTACGCCGGAAATCTGCTTACAATGCATCTGGGAAGGGGCATCTGGGAAGGGGCGATCGGATTCACTCCTTCTACATTATATCTTTTTTCTCTCTCGTGTAACGAAATCTCGGAACATTACATTTTTTCCAATTCACTCTACATTCTCGTCAAATATCAGAACGCCACCAAAGAAGTTTCACTAAAAAAAACATTCTAGCATTTATACAAGGTGTCCCGATAAGACCTGTACAATGCAAGGCCACATATTTCTTGGTTTAAATAATTCGACTTAGGGCCGGTTTATCAATGTTCAGTTAAAGTTGCAGTTAGTTATCTGGTAGAAAATTTCCATGGATACCATTGTTCTCACAACAATCGATATGGAATTTAGTATGTAATAAATATTATTTAATAATGCATTAATATTATTGATTTTTATCGTGATTTTACATTTAAATTAAGTAGATACATGAGTATTTTTTAATTTTGGAGATATGTTACTTACTAATTAATGGACTAAAATGATTAAAACTTTTATTTTAGAAAAATAAACGGTCCACAATTAAGTTAACTTATTATTTTATGATTAATCAAATACAAGTGCATCTGTAACAAACACAACGTTTAAAACTATTAATCTGTATAAACAGCACAAACCCAAAGCACAAGAATTGCAAACAACGAAAATGGCGCGCCGTTAAACTCAGTGCAGTGTTGCGGAGATTTTTTGTATTTTTTGCATTAATTAATTCTGTCTTCGTTTCAACAATAAATAAGCGCAATTACACGCCTTCGTCGCCAATGGTATAATTGCCACTGGGATAATTATTCATCCATAATAAAAACACAAAATCTCAATTTACATAAAACAATTCGCCTATATATGAAATAGGAGTTGCGAAATGCAATTATTTGTATTTCGAATTTCGCATCTATTTGAAACCGCTTTAACTCGCAGCAACAGCAGCCCAGCAGATAAGACCTGGAGATGGTACATGAGTTTGTACCAAAACGTCGTCAGATATACGGTTCTTTTGAGAAACAAAAACCGACAACTCGGAGCAGATCCCGAAAAACCAAAAACCGGCCCATAGTTTATTAAATGTGTGCCTAATTTTTAACCAATGCTGTTTTAAAAACATTCTACTTTGAGGTGTTCAAAACAAAATTATCTAAAAATATTTATTTACCAAAATCTATTGCTTTAAGATGTTTTTTACAAATTATCGTCGTAAAAATACCCATAATAAAAAGTTTTTAAAAATGTATTTTACAGTTTTAAAAACTAAAAAGGACCCAGCGACGCACTATATAGAGGGTCCTTTGCGCAGGCGACAATTGTAGACCCGGCTTAAGGGATGACCTACAACCTATTTTAATTTTGGGCTCAATATGATCGGTTGACCTCCTAAAACATAAAATGAAAAAAAATTCTAGTGTTCGCACTTTTGGGTTAAACGTATTTTCAACCTACCGTGACCCACAATAATAATAATAGTTTTAAATAAAAATTTTGCTCCTTTAGGAAAAATAATTAAATTAAATTATACGCTGTGGCTCCCGTCCCGAGTGACGTCATAATTTTAAGATTTGTTATGTTACGATAAAACTAAAACAAATCAACCAAAACAACCCAACCCAACACTTTTTAATAAAGGTTAAACAAATTTATAAAATAAAAAAAGTTCGATAACTTCTAGTAGTATCGAACCCGGTACCTCTCGCATGCCAAGCGACCGCCCTACCATCTGAGCCATCCAGCTTAACATTAGTTTTATAACGCTCGGGGAATAAAAACGGATTTACAGTGTGTGACGTCATTAGGGATCAAAGTTAAGTCCCGCCTCGGGACGGGAGCCACTTCGTAAATTATAAAATGGAATTTTGACGTTACCCGGACAGATTTGTTTTTGTGTGGTATTAGAGGTGCGTGGTTGGCAGTAGGTACTGCAGCGTTTCGTCTTATCAGTGCAGTCGCAGTCGACCAACCCTTTAAAACTTTATGTACTGTAATTTTAAAATAAAGAATATGATACCTTTATAAATTAAATCAAGCTTATAAAAGCATATAGCTTAACAGTTTCAAGGCATTATGCTTATTATTTAATTATACAAACATTTTTATGCCTTTTATTGATTCTAAATTATTTTATTATTATCTGCTTTTTAAGCGCTTATTTCAGTTATTTTGAAGTTTTTAATCCGGGCTCTATTTATAACTACAGTAACTGTCTAGGGGTACTATACAGGGTGTCACCTAATAAATTGTCATTCTTTGGGAGGATGAGAGTACACGCCAAAACAAGAAAGTTTTTCCTCTATCATTTCTTCATTAGAACTACTGTTTTTTAATTAAAAAAATATAAAATTTAGGGAGCCACTGGATGTCGCTTACCTATTCTATATATCATTATTGTTTTTACCTCTTAAAACAATGATTTTATTCTTCCAAGCAAAAAAGAAACAGGTATGCGCACAGTGTTTTATGGTTTTATGTAATATCAAGCAAATTTTTAAACCAATGCAAAATCGGTTGGTATTGTGGTTTCTCTGGGGCTACATGAAGAGTTTAGTGTACCAGAGCGAAGTTGACACATTAGAAAAACTTCGCGAACTTGTCAATGCAGCCGCAGATGAAATCCGAAATCATCCGGATATGATAGCAAGAGCGACACATCATAATTTTCTACGCCGCTGTCAACTTTGTGTGGATAATAACGGCGGCATAGTTGAACACCTATTATGATTTTGAGGAACACTTCAAAAAATAGCTACATGAGCATCAATGGACGTAAAAAGTGAAAGGTGAAATTAAAAATCGACGGGAAAACTACGGAAAACTCGAGATACCTAACAATAAAAAGTAAGTATTTTTTTTTCAATGTACTTAAAAATAGCCAAGTATGCACAACATTATCGACATTATCGACAAACCCAGCTAGCACAGAAACAATGTATAGCGATGTAAAATTGGGTACATTAAACCTCCCGTGCAATGTAATGTTGATATCGCATGTCTATTGAGGCAACCTCCGAATTTCCGCAACATGTTTACATTGGACAATGTTTTCGAGGTGCTACTTTGTTACGTACTGAAAACGTTAGTTTAAAACATCAATTAAAGTAACTTTAAAACATGCATGCTATGTGCCTAAGTTACCTCTTATATACATATTTTATTAACGAATTCGTATGTTAATATAGTATGTTTAGATTTAATGTTCCACGAATGTAACTTATTGATATACAAAGGCTATATGCTATATATAGCAAAAGTTACAGGCATCCGGCAAATAATTTGATATTTTTATTAGGGTGTGTCATTTTTAAGCAACTTTTTTTTTCAACTAAAAAACAGGCTAAAAACTTTCAGGAAGGTAAAAAAATAAACGTCTAAAAATTTGAGCTCTTAATATTAACATTAAGTGGTGCCTGTTCCTAACTTTCCATTTTCCATTTAAATAACATGGAAAAAAAAATTTCTTATTTTTGTAGTTTGACATTTGAGCATTGTAAAAACGAACTGAAAAATTATTTTGGTAGGAAATTGAACGCTCTACAAAAAAGTTTCAATATATTTTTTCATAGAGTGAGCCGTTCTGAAGGTAGGTATTCAAAACATTTCGAATCGCGGCACGTTAGCGTGCCTCTAGTCACTGTGTAATCCGAACGGTAATATATCGACTGAGCCGATATCTTTTATCAGAGTTATCGATTTTAGTTGAGGTAAAATTATAAAAAATAAAGAAAGATTACAAATTCAATGCAATAACAAATTATTGAACAAATTTATTGAACACAAATAACTTTTTTTGATAGTAAATAAAATAAAAAAAAAAAAAAAAAAAATTAAAATTAAACTCGACAACATTGTACTTTTACTGTAGTGTTTGTTTTAGTTTATTTAGAGGCCTATTCCCTTTCTTGCTGTTCGTAAACATCGATTTCTTAACATGTATGTTCACCCAACGACAAGCCAAACATTACCTATGTTTAGGGGTATTCCGTTTCTCATATGTTGAGAGTCTTGACCTTGAATCTTTCTGAACAGCGATAAATGTTTTTAGGACAGGGAGTTTCTTAGTTTTATAACCTAAAAGTCGCAGACTAAACTAAAATTTTGTTAGATAATTGTTTTAAACATCATTGGTGATATTTAATATATTAAATGAACTTAAAAACAATTTGGGAAAATCCACAAATTCTAAAAATACCTACTTGGGAAAAACGTTTTATGCTGAAATAGCCAAAGCACAGATCTTCTGGCGGGGCCATCCTTATATGGAAAAGGGTAATCATAAAATATCTTAAAATAATTATTTGTTACTTATTTTTACACACTTTTAGTGTATTGAAAATGGCAAGAAAACTACGCATTTCTCACATGGAGACTGGCAATGTCGGGGAGCCAGTAAAACAACTTAATTACTTTAAGGATAAATTACTAGCCCTAATAGAGGAAGCGCTGTGAAAGTTAGTGGTGGAGGGTAAGGTGGAGGTAATACCATCGTTGGAACTCTTCATTGACCAGCCTTTAAGTTCGGGTGGAAGGGTGCCTTCTACAACAGGGACGCATAAAGAGAAAGTCCAACTCAAACTCTGACGAGTAGTGAAGGTGTAGAGGTTTTACAAGGTATTGATAAAACCTAAAAGATTTTAAAATTAAACCAAAAAGTTTTAGCTCCCATGTGAAGAAAAATAGTTTTTAGATGCATATTTTTTTGTATTTTATTAGTTATACTTTTCTTTGACTAATATTTTGTCTATATTTTTGAGTAATAATATTACATAGGTATTTTATATTTTATATTTGTTGTATTTTTTTAATAAAATATATTTTTCCAAGTTATTTTTTATTCTACCAATAAGTATATATATATAGTTTTAGAGGTCGTTTTTAGACACTCTTGTAACATATAAGTCTTGACCTTCCTCCCCCCAAATTCTCTCTTCACACTCAGATTTTTTTAATCTTCTGTTTTTCTCTAAATAAATATTTATTATTATAGGGGCATTCCACGTTACTCGGTAATTTTTGTCCCGCCCGTCACAATTAAAAATTGTGAGTAAAAACCACAAGTTATAAAATTAATATTTTATAATATTATTTTTATTGTGCTTATAACTTATTAAAAGCATAATAAAACAATATTTTTAAATAAATTTTATAACGTGTAGTTTTTACTCACAATTTTTAATTGTGACGGGCGGGACAAAAATCCCCGAGTAACGTGGAATGACCCTATAATAAAATTATATAAAAAAAAATTAGTAAAGCAAAATTTGTATTCTATAGAATACAATTTTACTATAGTATTATAATTAGGAAATACATTTTAATAATTAAAAAACAAATCAAACATATTTTTAAAATTACCAAAAAATATATTATTATTTGTTTGGTGTAAAACCTTATATGATTATTTAATTATTTATCATTTATAATTATAATTAATTAGGTATTAATTATGAAAAAGTAATTAATTTATAATTACTATGCTTGATAATGATACTGTACTGTATACTGTACCAAACATCGCCGCAATTTATGATTAATGCAAGATAAAAAACCTTAACAGCACCTCTTAGGCAAGCGTTCGTAAACATACGTTTTCAAACATCATGTATGTTCACCAAACATCGAATTTTGGAAACGGAATAGCCATTTTAACACCGATGATGTTTATAAACATGGATGTTTAAGAAATTCTTCGAGCGCATGCGTCTATAGACGAAATAATTGAAAGGGAATAAGCTCATATGTTACGAAACATACGTAGTTCATGAACATGCATGTTTAGCGAAAGGGAATAGGCCTCTTAGTGACTTTAAATTATATTTTCTGCTTTGAACTGTCTGAATGATAAACTGATACTATTTGTGCTTATTGTTGTTACGTGAATTATTAGTATTAAATAATTTTTTAATTATACTAACCTACAAACGGTTACCCACCACAACGATAGTCACGCGGTGTTGCCGGACTGTGCAAAGTTTCGTAGACATGCCTACAATTCAATGTTCTTGTGGTTGCGCAGCCTTTGAAGAAGAACACAAGATTGTCATATGCTGTGTTTGCAACAAACCCACAAAATACACCTGCGCTGATCTTACTGCCTCTGAAGTGAGAAAAACTAAAACAAAAGTTGGACTTTCGTGGAGCTGCACTATATGCAACCAAATGGGAAACGATATAAATAGTTTAAAAGCCATAATTATTAGTCTCAAAAATGACATTCTGGAACTCAAAAATAGAGATTCACCAATAGTAAATAATTTTGGATTTGAAGATATTATTCAGGAAATCAATGAACGAGAAAAAAGAAAGTCCAATGTTATTATATATAATATACCCGAGTGTCTAGCTAGTTCAAGTTCTGATAGATCCAAAGAAGACAAGCTAGTCGTTGATAAGGTTTTTAAAGCACTTCCTACCAACGTTAATCTGGAAAATCTTAACATTTATCGTTTAGGTAAAAATAATCAAAATGGTAATCCCCGACCCATTAAAATTGAACTAAAAGATATTAATCTTGTTCACGAAATTATTAAAAAAGCAAATAAACTTAAAAATTCTGAATATAAAGACTATAGAATTTCTTTAGACCGTACCAAACGCCAAAATGAGTACTATAAGGAAATAAAAAAACAACTTGACAATAGAACTAATGCTGGGGAATCAAATTTGAGGATAGGATACAGAAATGGTCTCCCCACTATTGTGCCTAAGGAAAACTAGAGAAGCCCAACGAATGCATCAATGTATATTTTCAAAATGTTCGTGGTTTACGATCTAAAGTTGATGAAGTATATTCGTTTACATCCGAGCAAAGTTTTGACTGTATTGCCTTAGTGGAAACGTGGTTAAACTGTGATATTAGTAGTAGCGAATACTTTTCTGATATTTACACTGTATTTCGTTCTGATAGGGATTATGCTAGAACCGCAACCTCTCGCGGTGGAGGTGTGCTTCTTGCTTTTAATTCTTCTTTCAATGTTAATTTAATAACTTTTACTCAGTTTAATTCTATTTCTTTATTGATAGATATAGTTTGTTGCAAGTTAATTCTTAATCATACTCAATATTATATTTTTGCTGTTTACATTCCTCCCCACATAAATAACGCTGAGCTTGAATACTTTTTTGAAATGTTTGAATCATGTTTACTTAATTTAAAAAATATTTTTATCATTGGAGACTTTAATATACCTAATTTTATTACTCATAACCTTAACGATTACAAAACACGTGTGTTACATAACTTTTTAAATTTTACTTCTCTCTGCCAACATAATAATATCGTTAATGATAATGACAATATTCTTGATTTGTGTTTATCTGACCTTAACTGTAGTGTCTCTAGGGAAACTTCATCTATGGTATCTGAGGACAAATATCATCCATCTCTTTCTTTTAGTATTATAACAGATTTTGATAAATTTCAAAATTTTCCTACCAACGCTAATAACAAGAATTATAATTTCAAAGGAGCCAATTTATTTGAACTGTTTGAGGCTTTATTAAGTACTGATTGGAATTTCCTTAATTACTATAATAATATTAACTCTGCCTGTGAAGCTTTTTATACTCAACTTTATTCGCTTTTTGATCAATTCGTACCCAAATTTACAAAATGTAAACGTAAATATCCAAAATGGTACACAACCGAAATAATCAGCAACATAAAAATTAAAGAAAGGTGTTACAGGAATTTTAAAAAACATAAAAATGAGGTTTTTTTAAACGAATTAAAACAGGTTAGAAAACTTCTCAAATCTCAAATTTCTAAATCATACCGTCAATATATTCAACATACGGAAGACAACATTATTTTAGAACCCAAAAATTTCTGGTCATTTATGCGCGAAAAACGTGGTAAAACCAGAATACCAGCCAATGTCTTTTTAAACGATATACAATATGAAACTCCTCAAGATGTTGTTAATGGCTTTGCTGATTATTTTGGTAGTGTTTATTCTGTCAGTGATGACAATACTGCTTTGACTCCTGAGTTTACATTTAATTCAAATATAAATATTACTGCATTTTCTGAGGAGCTTATATTACGGAGTATGTCTAAACTAAAAAACAATTATTCATGTGGTGTTGACCTCATCCCAAACTTCTTAATAAAAGATTGCTCGTTAATATTTGCATATCCTCTCTTAATATTGTTCAATATGATATTGTCAACATCTACTTTTCCAGATTTATGGAAAATAACCAGAGTTTGCCCTATTTTAAAATCAGGTAATCCTAGCGATATTAAAAACTATAGACCTATAGCTATTCTGTCTAATTTTGCGAAAGTCTTTGAATCTTCCCTGTATACCTGCATCTACAATGAGGTAAGTAAACTAATTTCCACGCAGCAGCATGGATTTATGAATAAACGCTCGACTGTATCCAACTTAGCTGAATTCACGCAATTTGTTTCAGAACAACTTGACAAAAAACTTCAAGTAGATGCTGTATACACTGATTTTTCTAAGGCCTTTGACAGGGTCGATCACCAAATTTTGCTTAATAAGTTACACTTTTTTGGTTTTAGTCACTCCCTTATTAATTTGTTTTATTCATATTTGTGTGAGCGCAAATTATCTGTTTCATATAATGGCTACAACTCTGATTATTTCTATGCGAGCAGTGGAGTACCACAAGGCTCTAACTTGGGTCCGCTTTTGTTCATTTTATTTATTAATGACTTGTCATTACAACTTAATTGTAATCATCTACTGTTTGCTGATGACCTAAAAATATTTACCAGTATTTCCAGTTATACAGATTGCGAACTCTTTCAGGATCAGTTAAGCATTATTTTAAGATGGTGCAAAGTTAACAAACTCGACCTAAACATTTCTAAATGCAAAATCTGTACCTTTAGTCTTAAAAATACGCACATCATATTTAATTACACTTTAGATAATACTATTCTTCCTCGCTGTCATGAAATTCGTGACCTTGGTGTACTCTTTGATAATAAGCTTTCTTTTACATCCCACATTAATAATACTGTGCAATCTGCTTTAAAGCTCCTGGGTTTTATAAGTCGGAATTCTACCAATTTTTGTAACATCACAGCACTAAAATCAATGTATTTTTATCTTGTTAGAACAAAGCTCGAATATTGCTCACTTATTTGGTACCCGTATTATAACGTACATATTGACTCAATTGAAAAAGTACAAAGAAGATTCCTTAAACTTCTCTCCTACAGAGTTGATCATATTTATCCTGCTAGAGGAACTGACCATAACATCCTCTTAACGCGTTTTAATTTTGATACCCTACATGTTAGACGAATAGTGACAAGTTTAAAATTTCTGTGGAAACTTTTTAATTACCAAATTGATTCTTGTCATTTATTGAGTCTCTTAAATATTTTAGTGCCACGTTTGGAATCTCGTGGAAGTAAAACATTTTATTGTAGTTCCTCAAGAACTAACGTGCTTTTGAAATCTCCTGTTCATGTTATGTGTAGTAATTATAATTGTATAGGTAACCAGTGCGATTTCTTTCATTCAAACATTAAGGAAATTACGTCCAGAGCTCATGATTTTTTTTTTCTCGGTCAAAATAATTTGGAATTTTAATTTTTATTTAATTTATATTATTCATGATATTATTTTTTATTATATGTTTTTTTTAACAAAATATTAAGTTCATTTTATATCTTTTTTCTTTTATAATTTTTTTTATATAATGTTACATGTTGTGTACTTTGTCCTGTAATTGGAATATGTATTCTGTTGGGCAATAAATTATTATTATTATTATTATTATTATAAAATGGAAAAAAATGGAGATGTAAGTGTTATTTTCTTTCTATACGAAAATAATTATTTTTTCTTAAAATATTTTTTAAGACATAAAAAAAGTATTAGTTTAATAAAATAAAAGTCATAATTTCATACATTTGCAAGTTTGAATACCTTCAGAACGGCTTACTCAATGAAAAAATAAATTAAAACTTTTTTGTAGAGCGTTCAATTTCCTACCAAAATAATTTTTCAGTTCGTTTTTACAATGCTTGAATGTCAAGCTACAAAAATAAGAAAAAAGAAATTTTTTTTCCATGTTATTTAAATGGAAAATGGAAAGTTAGGAACAGGCACCACTTAATGTTATTATTAAGAGCTCAAATTTTTAGAAGATTCTTTTTTTACCTTTTTGAAAGTTTTTAGCCTGTTTTTTATTGAAAAAAAAAGTTGCTCAAAAATGACACACCCTAGTTTTTATACTTCTTTTATAAAATGTAGAAAAACTTAAATTTTTAGATTAGTTTTGTTACATTATAAACAAATGCATAAAAAAGAAAAAGAAAAACACCAAAGTAACTAATTTGCCTAATATGTATGTTCTAAGAGAAATTTAAAAAAAACTACTAGAAATGGGATCAAAGAATTTTTATCAAATTTTGCGTAAAAAAATAAATAAAGAGTTTGAAAGGCCTATGGTGAGTCTGCTATGAGTAAAACAAGAGTTTATAAGTGATATATGAGTTTCCAAGATGGCCGTAAAGACGTTGAAGATGACGAACGCCCCGGACGCCCAAGCACATTAACAACCGATAAAAACATGGAAAAAGTGGAAGAAATGGTTATGAACGATCACCGAATCCAGGGCCGGCGACAATAGCGGTGCTCGCGGGCTCAAGCACCACACGTAAAGGAAAATAGTGGTGCTTTGCGGTCTATATATTTCTTATCCTGCTAGCCTGGGATACACACCAACGCCCTCTACAAATTTACGGTTGAAGCTGAGGAATCCAAAGTTTAAAGTATCAAAGTCGGTCGGTATAGTATGTATAAGTGTATGTATCTTGGTATAGTAGGAATAACATACCGACACGTCGCGACATGTATTTAGGGTACCTATTTCTAATATACCGACGGTAACCGACCAAACCTTAATCCAAGAAGTGACAGGTGCCAACCCTAAAAACGTCCGATGTGGCAGTAATATACCTAACCCATTCGATTCCATTACAGGGTGAGTTTTTTAACTTGAAACTTTAAAATATAAAATATGTCGAAAAAACTATATAAACTAAATTTAATCATTCCGGGTGGATATCTATATATTAGTGCTAAATTTAGTATATCCCTGTATATAAAATGTGACTGAGTTTGATAAATAAATTGATTAAAGAACTATTCCAATTTTATTTTGTTCTCCTTCCCGCAACCCCCAAGAAAAAGAACACCCCCTATCCATTAACCACTGCTACCAACCAACTGTAGATGAGCACCACACGTCAAAATGAAAAGCTGCCGGCCCTGACCGAATCACAATCAGAGTCGCTGATGATGTTGGCATATTGATAAAATTTTTTCGAATGTTTTGGGTATGAAACGCGTGGCAGCAAAATTTGTTCCAAAATTGTTAAATTTTAAATACAATTTTTTGCCAAAAACTGTACTGTAATTATGCCCCAGCCTACATATTCGCCAGACATGGCTCCGTCTGACTTTTTCCTATTCCCCAAAATAAAGAAAACCTTAAAGGGCCGTCGTTTTGCAAGCATAAAATGTTACATTTATTGATTAATATGAGAACTTTTAAATTGCCTTAAATTTTGTAATTGTAAACTGTGAGAAGTTTGTTTAAAATACAAATCTGATTAGTATGAAACTTACCAATAAGTATTTCTATTGGATTTGATAGAATTCATTATAAAATTCAAACATCTTAAGAGAAAACCAACATAAGCATGAAAACTTCAAGCCTTAGTAATATTATATTAAATTTTGTTTTCTTTTAAAATGGGTGAATTTTATAATAAAGCTTACCAAATCTTATTGGACATTTGAAAATACAACATATTTAAATATGTTTGTTTAAAATTTCTAGACCATGGTTTTAATATAAAACTTTTTTATAAGGACTCATTGTCTCACAATATAATAATTAATTTCTGAAAGTCTTTAATAAAAATTAACCGATTTAAATATATTTGTTAGTCAGTTTCATTCGAGCCAGATTTGTATTTAAAACAAAATTTTTACGGTTTACAATTTTAAAATTCAAGGAGATTTAAGTTAGTATAGATATCACACACTAGATGTCGCACTGTAGATTCCAGGCGGTTTAAACTGTTAGTAAAGCTCTTGGGCAATAGATGTCGCTATCTAGAATGGATCTGCTTGCAACGCCACGGGCGGTGATATCCGCTGTTAAATTAACTTTGTTTCGATTTTCTAACGAGAGTCGACTATCTATACCTTCGGTCATCTATGGGCGACAGTGTAGCCAACCACGTGAAAACAAATTATGGTACACAACCCTCAAAGTTATGGTACAATTCATAAAATTATGGTACACCTTCTAAAATATAAATAAGAGGCAGTTTTTTTTAAATGGACAGAGGAAAAAAATATTTTTTACAAGTTTTTTATGTTTCATGCCTTTGGAATGGTTTTTAATAACACTTATATCAGCAAGGAAATCCGTTTTACAGGCTTTGCAATATGTCCTGTCGCTACACTCTGAAACAGAAAAAGATTGAGATTGAAAAATATTAATTCACTTGATAATACCTTTCACGGACTTTAACCAACCGACAAAATCAGGTTGCTGTTCCCATTCGTATCTGTATTTTTGTGTTCGTTTAATATATTTAGGCCGCTTTGCTGATTCTGACTCAGAGTCAGAGGTATCCATGGTTAATTTAATACTTTACTTGATTACATATGCATAGATAAAGAACTTGTGATGACAGAATCTGACCACTGACAGTGTTGTAATGTATCTAGTTACAAGTAACTAGATACAGTATCTAGATACTTTTTATGTATCTGTTTGTGTAACTAGTTACTTATCCCAATCTAGTAACTATAACTGTAACTAGTTACAAATTCTAAGTAACTAGGTGTGTTAAGATACAAAGATACATTTTTAAATAAACTGCGACTATTATTTATTGAGACAAGGAAAACACGTCAACTTCCACTTCTGACACAATTTTTAATTTCTGAACGCATCCAACAGTATGTCCATATAATATATGGTCATACAAATATTATTATTATTATTATTTTTTAACGAATTTACTTCCGTTGAGTAAAGAAATATACTAAACTGGTTATAAAAGGTTTTAAAAACCGTGGTAGATACAGTTTTCTGTAATCTGCACTTTTGACAGTTAAGGTTTGTTTAAAATTTAAATTTAAAGAATCTTGTTACAAAAATGATATATATAAAAATAAGTACTTGTATTAAAAATTCCCTTTTATTTCTATTTTAAATTTTTAAAGCAAAAAATAATTTGTATGTATCTTAAAGTATCTAGATACTTTTTGAAGGTAATTGTATCTGTAACTAGTTACTGCAATAAAATATGTATCTGTATCTGTATCTAGCTACAAATTTTGGTAAGTAACTGTAACTGTAGCTAGATACTGAAAATATTGTAACTGTTACAACACTGACCACTGACATATATTCTTTTTCTCTGACTGACATCTGACAGTCAGGTTTCAGTGGTCAGCAGGGTTGCCAGGTATGTAAAATGAGATTTAGCCAGTTTGAGCAGACAAAATAGCCAACTGTTCAAAACAAAAATGGTATAAAAAATTAAAAACACATAAATTACACATTTATTTTTAAAATCACAAGAATTAACTGAAAAAATCGTTTTGCCGTTGAATGAGGATTAACGCAAAGTTGCAAAATTATGGTACAATTATTGATTATGGTACGCCTAAAAAAATTATGGAAAAGATAGTAAAATTATGGTACATTTCCATAATTATGGTACGGTTGGCAACGCTGATGGGCGAAGTCGTCTATTAGGCGGCAATTCGAGAATTTTCCGAGATATAATACGGAATTTTACAATTTCGAGATGTAACAGGGAATTTTAAAATTACGAGATATAACACAGAATTTTAAAATTCCGAGATATAACTCGAAATTTTAAAATTCCGACATATAACACGAAATTTTGGTGTAATATTTCGACTTTCAGCTTAAATTTTGAGTTATATCTCAGAAATTTGTTAAAATTTATAAAAAATACAGATTTGAAGTTTGGATGGTCCTTCTACGCCTTGGTAGATTTCATTATTTACTGTGATTTAAACTAATCGGGTTATAAATTGGGAGAATGCGACTATAATAACATTTAAAATTGGTAAAAAGTGAGGTTAACCATTTCACAGATGTCAGATTTTATTTAGATATTTTTGAAAATCATATATCATAAGTAGATAATTAAATATTTAATTATCTATAGATAGAAGTATACTTATTGGAGTATTATTTTATTCAGTATCTATTAAACCAGTTTCTAAATAAACAAATATGCGGTCTTTCATTCAGGATTTATAATTAAATTATGGGTCAGAATTTCTCAAACGGGCCACCTGAATTTGGTCAAAATTAGTTTTTGATTGTAGATACATTTTTTCGATAGTATTTTACATCACTAACACAAATCCTAAAGGATTTTGTAAAAAAAAAATTTTCAATTGACATATTCATGATATTAAAAGTAAAAGTTTTTAGTAATTAAAAAATAAAAAAAAATCATTATGGCTAAACTAATTATCCGATTCCAACGATTTAACTAGCGTTGGAATCTTGTTTTGACATAGATTCTTTGTTATTTTTTTCAATTGTACAATTTTCATTTAGGTCGATTTTTTTTTGTTTTTTTTATAACAAATTCGGAAATAATTGGCTTCTGCGCCAGCTATCGACTCGAAAAAAAAACACATATACTCCAATCATTTTTCGAAATTATGCTGCTGAGAAAAAAAATGGCCCGCAGGTTCCAGACCACCGTAAGACGTCGCGTCACAAGCGCGTACAGCGTACACGGTTCGGAGCGTGAGCTGACACCGCGCGCGGCCACAAAAGGACGAATAACTTTTTGTCAACCTGCGGGCCATTTTTTTTCTCAGCAGCATAATTTCGAGAAATGATTGGAGTATATGTGTTTTTTTTCTCGAGTCGATAGCTGGCGCAGAAGGCAATTATTTCCGAATTTGGTATAAAAAAAACAAAAAAAAATTGACCTAAATGAAAATAGGACAATTGAAAAAAATAACAAAGAATCTATGTCAAAACAAGATTCCAACGCTAGTTATATCGTTGGAATCGGATAATTAGTTCAGCCATAATGAATTTTTTTATTTTTTAATTATTAAAAACTTTGACTTTTAATATCATGAATATGTCAATTGAAAATTTTTTTTTTACAAAATCCTTTAGGATTTGTGTTAGTGATGTAAAATACTATCAAAAAAATGTATCTACAAACAAAAACTAATTTTGACCTAATTCAGGTGGCCCGTTTGAGAAATTCTGACCCTTATGCAAGCACTTCTGACAGTTCGATTTAGTTTTTAAACTTTTTAACCATAGACAAGGGATTGGTTGGGTGGGCGAGGGTTAGTTAGATAGGCAACTTAGTATTTAAGTTTTGTTCCTTGACTACTGCGCCATCTAGCGGGTGTAGTCAAAAATATATATTAAAATTATTGTTTAAATTTTTTTATTGGATGGTACTGATCCTTTTTTTACCTCCACTAGATAAATAATTCTAATATTTTTCTAGGAAAGTTCAAAGAGGAATAATAAAACATAATAAAACTACATTTTTGTAATTATTTTATTTGTCAAAGTAACAAAATATATAAAGGCAAAAATTCAAAACACTACTTGAAAACATATCTGCATCATATAAACTTATCTAACTATTTCATTCCTATTCCTATAATATTATTCTACAATGTGTGGATTGTGAGGTTTAGTTATGCATAATATATTTATAATATGCATCTTATAGCATCTTACACTGTTTAAAATATCTGTGGTGTAAAGAGTCCTCTTAAAATGGTGTCAAAATCCAACACCAAGGGGTGTTAATATAAACACCATGAATTATGGTTGAAAATCATAAACACCAAAACGGTGTTTATCTAAAAATATTTAAGAAGTGCACCTACACAGAAAAAAAGGAATAGTTCATTTAACTATAGTTAAATGAACTATACAGGGTGTCCGGGAAAAGGAGGTCAATCCGTTAACCATATATTCCTTGAGTTAAAACAATAAGACTTTCATAATACCATTTTTCAATTTAGAGCTTCATGTTCGATATACAGGGCGACAAAGTTTGAAATTAAAAACTGATTTTTTTTAATAATTCGAGTAATTGATAAGATACTAAGTTTAAATTCGGTACACTACTTCAACATAAATAGTTACATTTTTTGAGACCAACAAAACAAAAAACAATTGTCAAATAATCAAAATAGGGGGTTCCAGTACTCACTGACTCCCCCTATTTTTTAGTACGTGCGCCAATGACTTCCAAACGGTATTTTTTCAGGTAATCATTTATTGTTAAAAAAAATTTGTCTCTTATAAGATTTTGATAAAATGATTTGTTTTAGAGATAATTTGTAAAGTATGGGTCAGTCCATATCAAATCAACCAAAGGTTCTTCCCCCACCATCTCCGATTTTGATCATTTTTGGTAAATTTGTTTACCTCACTAAAAAACTTAAAAATCCCATTTATGAATTTTTTTTGATAGGTGGATTTTGTTTTATTGATTTTTGAAAATCAAAAAATTCCGATGTCTTGCAAGTACTTACAAAAATAGCGATATCTCGTAAACTATTAAAAGTAGAAAGGTGAGTGATGGCTTATTTTAAAGGCCTATTAGAGAACTTTTTTATGATATATCACATGACCTACATTTAAAACAAAAAAAAAATTAAATTTTGAAATTTTGATATGGACTGACCCATACTTTACAAATTATCTCTAAAACAAATCATTTTATCAAAATTTTTTAAGAGACAAAACATTTTCAACAATAAATGATTACCTGAAAAAAATTCCGTTTGGAAGTCATTGGCGCACGTACTAAAAAATAGGGGGAGTCAGTGAGTACTGGAACCCCCTATTTTGATTATTTGACAATTGTTTTTTGTTTTGTTGGTCTCAAAAAATGTAACTATTTATGTTGAAGTAGTGTACCGAATTTAAACTTAGTATCTTATCAATTACTCGAATTATTAAAAAAAATCAGTTTTTAATTTCAAACTTTGTCGCCCTGTATATCGAACATGAAGCTCTAAATTGAAAAATGGTATTATGAAAGTCTTATTGTTTTAACTCAAGGAATATATGGTTAACGGATTGACCTCCTTTTCCCGGACACCCTGTATATATATTAATTTAGTTGACCCATAAGTATTTATTTAAATCAACTGTGGGAAGGTTAATATAAACAAAGATTAGTTTGATGGTACTAAACCAGATAGTTATTTTATTTTTTTCAAATTGGTTGAATTAACCCAGAAAACTTCAGTGAAACCAACCCGCTGTATGGTTCAGTTTACTAAATATGTTGTTCGTAAAATAAGAGTTACTTCAACCTAAAGCACTCTGTTGAAACGATTAAAACAATTTGCTGTGCATTCCTGGTTGCATAGTGTGTACCGATCGCGGCAAAAGCGGTGTGGATCACGTGATGTTCTTAAATCTCGC